TCTGCAATCTTATGGGAGCTGCAGGTGGGAGATCTGTCCACTTCCACTGCGATGGACAACATCCGCTGGAGCAGGAGCATCACCCTGTGTCAGAGAGACAGTCAGCACTTGAAGAAGCTGCTCCTTGGCTTGCCAAGTAAAGCATTGGGGATGGCCCCTAGTTCAGCCTCGTGCTGTGCAGTGAGGGACACGGGAATGCAGTGGGCTAGATTTGGTGTCTCTTGGTGGCTTTCGAGTCTGATGCTCTTGCAAGCAGAGCTAATCCCCAGATTGATCCTTGGGAGGTCTTGGGCTGTACTGAGTGTTGGTGGAGCAGCATGGGGTAGCCTGAGCTGTAGCTCAAGAGCTCCAGCCTTACACTACGTGCAAGAGGATGATACTTACTGAGCCAGTCTCCTATCAGGTGACAGTCTTTTGCTCACCAAGTCTATGTCTAACCCAAAGGAGAACCAGCAAAGCTGGTCACAGGTACAGCCTGGCTTCCCTGACCTGACAGGGAGTGAGAGGCTCTGGCTTCTCCTTGACTTGGGCCCATGATAATACCAGTAGGGAGTTAGCACTTCTGGGGCTTACTTTTGAGCAAAGAAAGCTGCCGGAGCCTGTGTGCTGGCTAGACTTGGTGCAGATGAGCTGTGTTCAGCCCTGGCTTCTGCTGAAGAGGAGGGAGTTTCTTGTGGCTTCTCCTGGGGCTGGCAGAACCCGACTCCTGTAATAGCTGCGACCAACCATTTGACCACTTCCCTAGGACAGAAACAGGAACTTTAGTGGGGATGGGTCTGATTTTGCTGTGTTCTGACCTCTGGATCCACTTGGAGCTTGAGGAAAGATCCTGACAATGAAGAGTATGTCCCACTCACTTAGAGTAGCTCTGTAGAGCAGCTCAACAGAAAAGCTCTCTTGATTTGTACACTTGTCCACAGGACTGCAGCCTCCTTAATCCTGTCCTGAGCAATGCAAATCTGACCTCATTCCTGGGAAAAGCCTGCTAGGTTGCAGCTGCAAATGCCTTGCATCCTCTCTGGTGGTTTGCTTTTGTAAATCTCCTGTCCTTTATATTTGGCCCTACACTTCCCTCTGTCTCCCAAGTTTGCTTCTTGTAAAGTCTGAAAGTCTGACCTGGAGTCTCGACAAGTGTTCCCTGAGCCCCTGCCTCAGTTTGTGGTTAGAGAACAGGGAGGAGGAGGTGTCTCTTACTTGACATTGTTGAAGCACATGTCACACGAAAGCACTTTCTTGGCAATTGACTTCTGCAGCAGGTGCAACCTCAGATTTTCCTGCAAGTCGTCCTCCAGGGTCTGCACCACGTACTGCAGGAAGAGGAGCCGGCCAGGGGGCTTCTCCTGAGGGCACATGGAGAGCGTATGAGCCTGAGGGAGCCACTGGGTGAGGAGCACCAGGGAATTTGGCTGTCTTAGGAATGGACTGACGTACACGACTGAGGAACAGCTCCAGGATGGGCTGCCTGGCTCAGGCAATGCCCTTATGGGCATTGCAGGACCTGTTCTACCACTGCACTAGCGCTGTGACCGAGTCTTTATCTGTTGCTGTACCTTCTTCAATGGGACAACCTGCCTGCAGCTGTGCAGTGGGTCAGGGAGCACTGAGGATAAATATGAGATACCCAACTGGCACTTGCTGCCCTCAGCAGCTGCAATAAACCTGCACATTGGACTGTCCTGTTCTCTGCAGCAGAGCACAGCCACATGAGGTCCTTGGGCAATGCTTACCCTCAAGCACTGTGTCCTGGATGATCCCTGCCCGATGTGACACACACGGTGCCAAGTACCTGGTCCTCCATGATGAATTTCAGCAGCGTCCAGTTCCATCCCACTGTGGCAGCGTTGGCTGGATGGAGCCTGCAAGGATAGCCCTGTCCATTTGTGCTGAACTGCCTGACCATCTTGCTGGAGGCACGGCTGCCCCTGGCCCTTCCCCAGCCCTCCCCAGCCTCACTTGCTCGGGGGCTTGACCTGCCTTCTCCTCTCCATTTTTGCTCTCAGCCTTTCTCCTCCCCTGATCCCATTAATTTTTGGAAAGCACCTGGCTGGGGCTGTACTCCATGGAAATGCCCAGGACTCCTAGGCCTGTGGCCTCACAAAACATTGTTTCTTTCTGTGGGAACCCCTGAGGGAAGTGAGGGAGCTGCTACAGGCACTGACAGCCCATGGCACTGCTGCAGCCCAGGGAAGGCACCTCTGCCATGTCACAGCAGTGAAGAAGGAGATCTGCACTTCAGGGCAAGCCAAACATGCTTCTCTGTCCCTGAGAGCTCTCTGGTATCATGGGCTGCCCCTGTCCCACCCTCAGAAAGCCTGGGGAGTGCTGGCGGTGGCAAGAGGATCATCCTGGGTTATATGGGAAATCACTCCTATGAGTGAGCCCCTGTATGCTGGGCAGACCCCTGGGAGCAGCCCCGGGGGCACCGGGACAAGGGGAACACCTACATTTGGATCTTCATCAGCAGCATGTAGGTGTCCTTCAAGATCTCCTCTTCATGGGCATTCAACAGGACCTGTCTGATCAGGTGGGAGATGATATCTTTGGGGGGATAGTGCTGGCAGGAGACGAACTCATTCAGGAGATGCAAGGTGCCCTCCAGGAAGTTCTCCTCCATGGTGGTGCGCACCATGCTCAGCTTCCCTCTGGGGATGAGCTCAGGTTTCTGCTGTGTAGAAGGCAAGGCAACAGGTGAAAGCCAGCTCCCCCAACACAGAGGAACCCAGCTGGGATATGCAGCCCACTGTGAAGGGAACTGCAATAACCAGAGCCCCCAGCTGCCTGGCAAAGCTTCCCACAAAGGGCAAAGGGAGCAGGGCCTGCCCTTGCTACGTCCTCCACCACAGGGGCTGCTCTGAGCAGCCTCTAGCTGGGCTTGGCAGTGGCTGCTCTAAACCCTGTTTACCTGCTGTGTTTCCCTGTTGGGTGCTATGCCTTGGAAGAAGAGGTGCTGGACTCCACTCCTCCTGAAACTGTGCAGTTTGTCCAGCCAGGCCTTGCTGTCACCATTGCTCCTGTCTGGGGTTGCTTGCTGGGTTGGTTTGTGTGGTATGTCATTTGTTTCCAGCAAAGATCCTCGGGCCTTCCCTGGGGTTGTGGGAAGGGTTGGGGCAGGGCTCAGCCTTGGGGGGAGGTCCCTTTCCTGGCAGAGGTGGGGAGGCTCTTCCTCTGGGCCATCAGCTTTCCAGCTGCTATTGCTGTCCAGGCTGGGGGGTGCTGAGTCCTGCTGCATGCTGGACAGGGAACTCAGGTCACTATTGAAGCTGGTAGCACTGCAGTCCTGCTCCGAGCTGCAGGAGCTGTGGCAGCTGGAGGCAGGAGAGAGGCAGCTCCTGTTCTCCATGCTTTCGGCTGTGTCCATGGTGGCACTGGGCTTCATGGGAGTGCTGTGCCAGGATGGTGCAGGGCTTGGCTCTGCCACTGCCTCCATTTCTTCCTTTATGGTGGAGCAAAGCTGGGGATGGGATGTGTGTGCTGCTGGGGCAGCAGGTGCAGTCCTGGGGTCCTGGTCAGCACTGCAGGTGCAGTGTAGAAGGATGCAGGTGTCTTCAGTCATGCTCAACTGCACTGGGTCTGTGCTCATGTCCTCACAGGTCAGATCGATGATCTCCTGTGGGGACAGAGAAGCAGTGTCAGTGTCCTTCCTGCCAAGAGCCTCTGCTATGGTGGCAATGTAGCCCCAGTCCAAGAGGGAAAAGAGGTTCATTGGCACCAGCCCAGGGAGAGAAACCAGGGGCAAAGACCCCATCTGAGGGGATGGGGCAGCCTGTGGGGGCTGGTGGCTCTGAGCTCTGGGATCAGCTCACCCTGGCAGCACCACTGAGCCTGAGCCCAACCCTGACTGAGGCTCTTCTTCCCTGCTTTCCCCGGGGTTCCTTCTTGCAAAGAGCCATGCCTTCTCCTCCAAATACCTCTTGCCTTGGGCCAGAGTGGTCCTGGCTGCTTGCTTAGCTCCCTCCCATGATGAGGAAATGCAGGTTCTGCTGAGGTGCTGAGGGAGGGCAAGGCAAGCACAATGAGCACTCCTGTAACCCTGTTCCCAGACACTGGCAGGAGCAGCACAGGATCCAAACCCTGGCACGCTTTCTGTGGCACAACCTTGCCCACTATGAAGACAGCAGTGGCAGGGAACAGAGCTGCGTCTTCCTCTTTGGCATCAATCTGGAGCTACAGCAGCCCTGAGACTTTGGGGACTCCCACTCAGGACTTGCTGGGTGATGCAGCACTCAGGTGTTCCAAGGAACAACAGGAGCCGGCAGGGGAAGGCAGCTGTGTCTGCACTGGCGGCAGGCAGGACACAGCACTTCCCAAGCTCTCGGTGTGCCCAGGAGGGGTCAGAGCCTGTTTGCTCTTGGGGAAACAAATCCCCCTCAGCGTCTCAAAGCAGGGAACGCGGTTAGCGGACAATTTAAGTCCGTTTTTTTCCCCCTGACTCAGACCTGCTGCCTTTCCCAAGGAGGGCTCCTGGACGCTGGAGGAGCTGGGGAGGGCAGGAGGCCGCGGGGCTCCAGCCGGTCACGGTAACCGTCGGCGGCTGCGGAGCTGCCTCAGGAACCGGGACAGCGGAGCGGGGAGCGGGACGGGCCGTTCCCTGAGGGGCTGAGCCTCGAGCCCTGAACCGCCACCGTACCGGACATCGTCCCCGCACCCTCTGGCGATAAAGGGGAGAGGAGTAGGACAGGGTAGAGGAGCAGGACAGGGGAGGGGGACGGTACAGGGAGAAGGCGGCCCTGGGGAGAGGGGCAGGACAGGTGAGAGGGGCAGGACAGGTGAGAGGGGCGGCAGCCGCCCCACCGCAACCCTGAGCCAGATCCCGCCGGGGGCTGAGCCCTACAGGGCTGGACCCTCCTCGGGCTGCAGCGAGGGCATGTGACGCTCCATGGTGGGGACCGGCGTTTTCTGAGGTGGGAGGAACGTTGCCGAAGAGGCTGGGACCGCTAGGGGGGGGCGCTTGAGGGCCGGGGCTCCGCCGGCCACAGGTGGCAGCGGGGACCCGAGCCCGCCTGGGGAGAGGCTGGGAGGTCCCGGGAGTCCCCGGGAACCCCCGGCCGGGGCTGCTCACCCACCCCTCCACTGCCCCCGAGGCTTCTTGTCTGCGCGCGGCTCCCGTCCCCGCCCGCGATGGACGCGCCGCCATCTTTGTGCGGAGCAGCGGCGGCCCCGGACTCACGGAGGGGGCGGGCAGGGAGCGGCGGGGGCGGCACGGCCGGGCCGGTGGCGGCGAGCGGGCGCCCTCCGAGTCCGAGTCACTGAGGAGCACCACGGTGTCCTCCATCCCGGCGGCGGGCGGCGGCTCCGCCCCGCCCGTGGAGACGCGCCAGGCGCGGGGTGGTGGCGGAAGTGCCGTCGAGCGCCGGGGCGGGGCGCGGTGCCGGCCCCGCCATGGCGGTGTCCCCGTACGTGCAGGCCATGCAGGAGCTGTTCCGCGCCAACACGCGGAGCCGCGAGTTCCCCGCGCACGGCGCCAAGGTGCACTCGGTGGCCTGGAGCTGCTGCGGCCGCCGCCTCGCCTCCGGCTCCTTCGACAAGACCGCCAGCGTCTTCCTGCTCGAGAAGGACCGGCTGGTGAGATCCGCCGGCAACGGGCGGGCGGTGCCGGGCGGGTCGGTACCAGGAGCCCTTGGGCACCCTGGGCCCGGGTGTTTGGGCAGGTGTGTCGAGCCGGGGGGTGGGTCCCGGTGGTCGGTACCGGGTACTCGGTGTGCGCCGGAACAGGAGCATCGCCAGGAGGCCCCGTCGGCCGGTGGCAGGGAGCCGGGAATGGAGCTGGAGCGGGAATGGAGCTGGTGCCTGGCGAGGAAGGCGCGGGCCTCCTCCATCCCGGCCGGCCGTGGGCAGGAGCGTGGCCGGGTTGGCAGTGGCGCTCCGGGCTGGGTTCCCGCCCCATCCCGACAGGGATGCAGTGTGCTGAGATGTGGGGCAGGAGCGGGAGCAGAGCCAGGCGCATCCTCACGCTGACGGCTGTCCTCTCCCCCTAGGTGAAGGAGAACAACTACCGGGGCCACGGAGACAGCGTGGATCAGCTCTGTTGGCACCCCAGCAACCCTGACCTCTTTGTTACAGCGTCCGGGGACAAAACCATCCGCATCTGGGACGTCCGCACCACCAAGTGCATTGCCACTGTCAACACCAAAGGTGAGCCCCTGCCTTCCCAGGGGGCTTCCCAGGTGGGTCCCGGCAGGACCTCAGCTGTGTGGGACCCACCCACAGCAGCACAGAGCTTTGGACCCTTTGGTGGCTGCTTTATCTTTGGGTTGCAGTCATCATATAAGGGCTTATTTACTGCGGAGTAGGGACTGGAGAAACTCCTGAAATACAGTGCTGACCATTAAAATGTTCTGTGTACTTGTTTCTGGAGTCTATGGGCTGTGAGGGAAAAAGCATGTTTACAGGGAGCCATGATGGAAGTAAAAGTTTGTGTGGATTCAGAAAAACAACTATTTGCGTTCATACAGTGCCTAACCCAGATACCACCTCTGCCCTTGGAAAGATCAAATTTTGAGTTGTTGGGGTTGGAAATGGCATTGTAAGATGACATAACTGCAACTTGCCTTGTTTTTATCCTCATTTAAAGGTATTTGTTGTTGGCTTCTGCTTTTTCTGGATCTCAAAGATCACTGGATCTAGAGGATCTTTGGATTGACCTTGTGTGGTGATTGCTGTGGTCTCATCTTGGCTGAAATGAGATGTGGTCCTACTGTTTTGAAGCTGTACTTCTCATAAGTTTTATTTTCAGTAACTGTCTGTATTTGCTGGACAGCTGCCATGCAGGGTTTGTGTGTTACACTGCAGGCCTGGCAGTCTTTCTTATCTGGGAATGGTTTGGAGTGGAAATGGGACCTGCTGCCTTTCTGTCCCTTCAGGTGAGAACATCAACATCTGCTGGAGCCCCGATGGACAGACCATCGCCGTGGGGAACAAGGATGATGTGGTCACCTTCATTGATGCCAAGACGCATCGCTCCAAAGCTGAGGAACAGTTCAAGTTTGAGGTGAATGAGATCTCCTGGAACAACGACAACAACATGTTCTTCCTCACCAATGGGAATGGCTGCATCAACATCCTCAGGTAGGTGCCCGTGGCTGCAGGTGGGCCGAGTGGCTGGGCTGACTGCAGTCAGGCTGCAAGTGCCTTGGCTGCTTTTGGGGGACTGGAGTCCCACACCTTAGTGATCCCCAGCCCTCTGGTGGGAATGGAGCTGAGGTTGCCCCTGTTCTGGGCTGGGCTCCCTGAGAGGGACCCTGATGCTTCACCTCATTCACTGGACACTTGGTGTTTCCTACCCTGGCTGGGTTTGCTCCCAGTCCTGGTGTGCCTTGTGCCTGCCCAGCTTCAGACAATCCCTGTGCTCCTCTCACTGCTCCCTGTCCTCTCCCTTCACCTCCACAGCTACCCAGAGCTGAAACCGATCCAGTCCATCAACGCCCATCCTTCCAACTGCATCTGCATCAAGTTTGATCCCATGGGGAAGTATTTTGCCACGGGCAGTGCCGATGCCTTAGTCAGCCTTTGGGATGTGGATGAGCTGGTATGTGTGAGGTGCTTCTCCAGGTAGGTAGAGCTGTCCCAAAGCTGTTTGCCCCCTCTCTGGGGACCATGTGCGGTTGGCTCACTGTCTGCTCCCCTTGGTTGCTGCAGGCTTGACTGGCCCGTGCGGACACTGAGCTTTAGCCATGATGGGAAGATGCTGGCGTCAGCATCAGAAGATCACTTCATTGACATTGCCGAGGTGGAGACAGGTAGGGGTTTCTTCTTGGAGAACAGCAAGGAGGGATCAGATGGAGAAGTGCTGGTGGAGCTGGGAGGGCACTGGGTGAATCTGTCTGCTAAGGAAGAGCTTTGCTATGAAGAGCAGAGCGCCATGAGGGGGAGCCTTTGCCTCGTTAGTCGGTGGCAGACATGCTTGTCATGTCTGAGCCTTGTCACTGGGTGATTAAAAGGCGCTGGAGCAGCAGTAGTGCCGGAGAGAAGAAGCAGGTGCTTGGCACTTGGACAGCGAGCAGTGGAGGCTTTCCAGGCTGACATGGCCCCTTTTCCATGCAGGAGAGAAGCTCTGGGAGGTGCAATGTGAGTCCCCTACCTTCACAGTGGCCTGGCACCCAAAGAGGCCACTGCTGGCCTTCGCCTGTGATGATAAGGATGGCAAATACGACAGCAGCCGGGAGGCTGGCACCGTCAAGCTCTTCGGGCTCCCCAACGACTCCTGATGAAGCTGCACCTGGGGAGGCAACACCTGCCTACTCTTGGGAGTGGGAGCTTAGTGTAGATGGGGCAAGGAGTTGGCTCCCCTCCTTGGCAGCCTGGCAGGGCTGTGACCTCGGGCTTGGCTCAGTGCATCCTGCTCTTGGGAGCATTTGTAAATAGGCAGCTGTGTGATGGGGATGATGGGGGTGCTGGCAGGCCCCCCCCTCTGCCGCCTCCTCTCTGGAGCATGGGGAGCTTGTTCCAAAGGCAAGTGGCCAAAGAAAATCAGTCGCTGGAGGTGGCTGCTGAGAGGCCTTCCATGAGAGGAGCTGCCCTCTGACCAGTCTCCACAGCAGTGATAAGCTATGTGACTGTCCCCTTGTCCCCAACAGCCTGGTGGTGAGGGCAGCCCTGGGAGCACAGCCTGCCCCTTTTCTTCCCAGACATATCATGTCCCTTCCCTGTGCTGGGGCAGTGAGGGGATGGTGAAGGGATGCAAGCTGGGAGATGTTTCCCCAGCTGGGGCTGAGTTTTTTAATACTTGTTTTTTTCTAATTTTGATAAATTCTCTTCCTTAACGAAGGTGTCTGTGACTCCTTGCAGGGGGGAGAAGTGAGTTGTTGAGTTGCTCTCCCTTCCCCTGCCTCCTTCTCTTGGCCATGGCAAGGCCCTGGCTGCGGGGTCTGTCGAGGGACTGTCCCCGTTGTCCCCACTGCCTGTCCCCGCTCTCCCTGTCCTGTGCTGTCACCACACCAGAGGGCGCTGTGCCCCCACACTGGCGACAGGTGACAGCGGGGACACTGCTCAGCGGATGTGGGGGGACACCTGCAGGGCCCTGCCCGGCAGCACCGCATGTGCGGAGCACGCTGCTGGTCCCACGCCAGGGCCACCAGCCCCGGGCAGAGCCCTTCCTCGCACCCCTGCAGGGGTGACGGGCACTGCCTCCCCAGGGAGGGCTGTGGGGATTTCTCTCCCTCTGTGCCATCACAGGGAACAGTCTGCCTGCGGTGGAGACCTTGCCTGCAAGATCTCTACCGTTTTCTACCTTCATATTTTAGTCTGACAGAAGCTTTTCCGGGTGACTGCTCTGCTGATGGCGCCTGGGTAACAGTGGAGCTCTTTGGTGGTAAATGATGGCAAATGATGGCTGAGGCTGGCTGCAGGCTGAGGCCTCCAGGGCTGTGCCAAGCCTGGGCACTGTCAAGGCCTTTGCCTCACTGCGGGGACAGGAGGTGCCCCATGCCGATAGCCTCAGGCCCGTCTATTAGGGGACAGAAGGCTGTGACCCACCAGAAATAGCCCTTGTACCCCAGGGTATCCCCTGTCATTCAGTGAAGGAAGTCCCAGGGTCAGGGGGAAGGGGCAGAAGCCCCCATGCCATGTCTGTGGGACATGGGTCCACCAGCACCCGTCCCTTTTGCCTTGTCCCCATCCCCAGAGATGACACCTGCAGAGTGGGGAGCAGCAGGACTGAGCAGGACTCTGGGAGCCACATGTGGTCACTCCCTACACCTGTGGCCTGGCTTGGGTGCTGCCCAGGGTGGGCCCTGTGGTCTTACCATATGTGATGAGCTGCCAGGTGTCAGCCCTGGGATTGGTGGGGAGAGGGAGCTGACATGGGGACCCAGGGAAGCAATGGATGAGAAGAGGCTGGAGCAATGTACAAATCCCTTTATTTTATTAGTTTGTCAAAGACTAGTTCGAGCAGGATGGTCACAGCATGTCTGTGGGGCCCCGAGCTGCCCGCCACCTCCCTGGAGGGCCCTGGTGGGCAGCTGGGGGCCGTGGCTGAGGAAGCAGGGGGAGGGGGGAGCACGGTGTGGCAAGGGAGGGGCTGGGATGAGGGTGTGCCCCTGCCTCCCCCCGTTGGGGTACAAGCAGCAGCTCCTGGGACATCCCGAGGCGCTTGGCCAGGGATCCCTTCCCAGGCCCGGGGACCCGTGTGTCCAGCGTCAGGTGGGGGGCAGCCAGGCACTTCCAGCCCTGGACTGGCCTGGCAGCCCTCGGCCCTGCGCTGGCTTTATTGCAGGGGGCAGAGTGGGGGTCCCAGCAGCGCGGCGGGGGGATCTCGGCTCAGCGCCGCGGGTGGCCCCCAGGGACAGTGGGGGCTCGGGGGTGGGAGTCTGAGCAGCGGACACGAGGACGCATGGAGCGACGGAGCGCACCCTGGCACAGAGACACTAATGCGAGGACGGGGGCCAGCGGGGCCAAGACACAGACGAGCGAGCGGCGGGGACGGGGGGACGGGGCAGGGGGGGCCCTGCCCCGCACGTGCCTTTGTACACGGTTGGCGGAGCGCGGCGCCCGCTCCTCCCGGTGCTGAAGTATTGCAGTCTAACTGATATGGCTTTAACTATGGGGCCAGAGATGCGGGGAGGGGGGTCCCCTCCAACCCCCCGATGCAGGGGCACACCGGGCAGCCCCGGGGGACCCCCGTGCCCGACGACTGGGGATGGGGGAGCTGCGGGCAGGGCGCCTGGCTTTGTGCTTTGGGCTTGGCCCGGGGCGGGACGGGGCAGGGGGATGGCAGTGTTGGGAACGAGGGCAGGCGAGCAGAGGCCTGCTGCGGTCCCCTGGGAGGGCAGGAGCAGGGCAGGGGGCACAAGGAGCCACCCCGGGGAGGCCGGTAGGGCCTGGGTGCCCCCAGCCCACCACGAGGTTACATCAGTGCATTTGGTCCCGGTTCGCCCTGTCCGGCCAGGGCTGCTCCCCTTTGGCGTGGTGGGGGCGGCCCTGCCTGGACGGGACGGGGCGGGCTTTTGGTCTGGTCAGGGGACAGGGCAGGAGGGGATGGGAGGGGGTTTGGGGACCCCCTCTCCGGGGCCAAGGGAGCTGATGGAGGGGTCGTAGGGGAGAGGGCGCCCATGCCCCAGCACCCTATGGCAGGGCTGACAGTGCCGTTACTTCTTGAACATATCCTGCAGCGGGCCGGGCAGGTACTTGAGGACGGTGTCCAGGATGCTCTCCTCCTCCTCTTCCTCCTCATCCCCGCAGCCTGCTGGGATCGCCTTCTTGGGGCGCGTCAGGCTGCCCTCACACGGCTGCTCCAGGGCAGCTTTCTCCTCTGCTTCCTTCTCCTCCTTCTTCTTCAGCCCGTACTGAGAGGACACAGACCCTCAGCAGGGCAGGCACAGGGCACTGCCTGCACTGTGCCCGTGCCCATCACCACTGCTTTGGGCCACCCTCCTCCCAGCCATGCCAGCTCCCTGTCCCAGCCCCACCCCGGGTGCCAGGAGCAGGGGTGGGTGCAGGAGAAGCATGTGCCCACCTTGTCACGGATCTGCTGCCGGACTTTCTCCCGTTCGGCTTCCATGCGGGCGTGCTTGGCTTTCCGCTCCTCTTCCTGCTGGCGCAGAGCCTCCTGCCTCTCCTCCTCCTTCTTCTGCGCATCAGGGTCCTTCTCCTCCTCGCCCCCCAGCATCTTTCCCATGTCCTTGGTGGCCCCTGTGGCATCACAAGAGCATTGGCTGGTCCCCAAGGGTGCTGCAGCTCGGCGCTGGCTGCTGAAGCCCTGCAGCGGCAGGCAGGACAAGGAGCCCCCCTGACAAGGACAACCTGGGACATCCCCAGGGCCACCGATGCCAAAGTGGGCTGCAGACAGGCTCTGGAGGCTGTGGGGATGGGGAGTGCCACGGGCTGGCTGCGCTGCCCTAGTTCAGCGTCAGCCGGAGGAGATGCCGGCAGCTCCTTCGGCACCCAGGGGACCTGCCGGGGAATCCCACTTAGCGGCAGGAGAGCCAGGATTCCCCAGCCAGCTGCTGACGGTGCTGGGAACAGGAACCCCAGAGGGCTTCAGCAGCAGCTCCCCACTGCCGGTGGCTCTCTGTGTGACTCTATCCCCCTGCCATGTCCCTCCCACTGTGGTCCCAGGGTGTCAGGCCAGCACTGCTCCCAGAGAGGGGACTCTGAGGGGGAACAGCACCCACTCACCGCCCAGTGCTTGCTTCATGACAAAGTCCATGGTGCCGATGTGTGCGTGTGGCTAGGCCAGTGCCCAGCGCTCATCCACTGCTGTCCGGGCTTGCTGACCTGGGCCACCTGTGTGGGCAGAGAGGGACAGCATTGGGGACACCATGCCCATAGTCCCTACCGCCCAGGCGCAAGGAATGGGATGGTTCCTGGGGCTGCACTTTACACCCTCTGCACCTCCAGCCCCAAATGCCTTCCAGGATGGACAGAGGGAGTTTCTGGGGTCTGCAGGCAGAGGGTGTGCTGTGTCTGTTTCCCTCAGCCCCCTCCTCACATCCCTGCTGGCCTTGAGGACCTATGGAGGGACCAAGACAGGGATTCCAGAGGGATGTTCCACCTCACCACTGCCCTTGGTGTGGCAGCAGGAGCCAGGGGTGCTGCCTGAGGGCTGGTGGGATAGGGACCCACCACACCACTATCCACTGTGTGCCCCTGCTTTGGGGGAGGGGATGACAGCCCCTGCCTGGGGATGCCAGCGTGGCGCAGCCAGACATGGGATGCTGCGTGTGTGCGCGTGTCTATCGCAATGTGAGTGCTCTGCAGAGGGTTGGTGGCAGGTTGTGGCGATGTTTGGGGGCTGCAGGGATTGCAAGCAGCAGCCTGTCACTGTCTGTGTGATCCATGCGGGTGCTGCAGATGGGTGACACCATGCAGGGGCACTGCGTGTGCAGGACGGAGCGGGTGCACGCTGTATCTGCGTGTGCTTGTGTGTGAGCTCTGTGCAGGCGTGCAGGTTATGTTTGCTCAAGAGGTGTGTCTGCGGGTGGCTGCAGGCTGTGTTTGCATGGGGTGTGTGTGCACACGCGTGATAAGTTTGTGGGGCTGCAAGCTGCGCGTGCCCCCACGATGTGCAGGCTTGCAGCCTGTTTTCAAGCTTTGTGCGTGTGCGAGTGTCGGGGTTTGCGGGCTCTGCGGATGCGTGTGCACACAGGTTTGCGGGCTGTGTCTGTGTGCTGCGTGTTTTTGCTCTGTGTGTGTGTGTTTGCACACTGGGGGGGTGTTGCAGGCTATGTTAGTGTGTGTGTGTGGGGCTGTTTGTGCAGGTCCGTGGGTTTGCAGGCTGCACGGGGTCTGTGCACACAAATTTGCAGACTGTGTCGCGTGTGTGTACGTGTGGGGGTGTTGCAGGCTGCTTGCGTGCTCCGTGTGTGCGCGCATGTGGGGGATTACAGGCGGGGTGTGTGTGGGGGGGTTGCCCGTGGGGGTGCCCATGCCCCCCACGTGCCCCGTGTGAGTGGGGGGCTGCAGGCTGTGCTCAGATACTGGGGGTGCAGTTTGGTGTGTGTGTGTGTGTGTGTGTGTGTGTGCCCAGAGAGTGCCGCAGAATCGCAGTTACCCCACCCCAGATCCCCGGGACCCCAGGGGGCTGGAGGGTCTCCAGGAGCTGTGACCCTCGGAAGTTTGTTGCCGCCAGCGCTGGGGCACCCCGCGGCTAAGGGGTGGGGGGTGCTTCTCCAGGCAGCACAGTGCTGAGCCCCGGGACCGCAGTGGGGGGCTCAGGGGCCACCGGGGATGAGGGAACACTGGGAAGCATCGGGAAACCGGGGCCGTAGGGAAGGTGCAGGGGACACGGGGGGCATCGGAACACCGAGGCCGCCTGGCG